AGAAGGTTTGTCCTCTGCTGGGAACTTTCTGTTCTTGGCGACAAAAAAAAATTTAAAATTCTGCCAACGATGGACATACCATATTCTTAAGCTATAGAGTTGCACTTGTAAAATGGAAACACAGGCTCACAGCTGATAAATAGCCAGAGAGAGCATTCACCAAGCTGATTATAAATATGTGCTCAGATAGCTCAGGGACTCTGAGGATTGAAATCATGAGATACTCTACATGGCAACACGGTTATTTAAATACCTCCTCTTCCACAGGGAGTTCAACCATTATTCAAAGAGAGGAAGCATATTCACTCCTGAGTGCTCCAGACATGGGACAGTTAAGAAAAGCTTTATGAACAAATGAAGCAAATGGTATCCCACAGGGAGATGGAACACCAGCTTCTGTCCCAGCCTCAAAACTGACTGTACCTGAATGAACAGGGGCTGAAAAGTAACTGGGTTCATAGACAGCAGCATTTATTGAAGCCTGTCGCTGCCTCTCAAGGGTTACTTATGAAGGTTAACAACTTTATACAATGGCAATAAATACAGCTGACAGCAAGAAAACAATTAGATTAACATATAAACAGTTGAAGCTATAATGCTATTAAAAGGGACGTTCAAGGAAACTGCAACCATTGCTACAGCTGTTTTGGAAAGTCTCTCTTTGGCAAAACCTGCTGGATTGTCATTCTAAATGTCTGTGCTTCCCATGCTGGTTTCCTGAGGAAGGGTTTGTGGATGGACTTGTTTATTTATGACATTTTTTTTACCCCTCTTAGCTGTAGCTGTGGATTCCCCTGCCTTGTGAAAGTAGTCATTAGTTGCCTTTTTTGGCTAGGAGAAATCAGTAAAGAAACTGGCTCTTGTCCAAACGGTTCCTGGAATTTTCTACCAACCTTGTGTAAGAGCTTCATAAAGTCAAATTCAATTTTATGTAAGATTTGTTCCAAGGCCATAGGTGTTTTGTGAGAACAATGAGCAAAAGGGCTGAAATTATGTTTGCTGTTCTGGAGTAAATCATACCAAATTAAATTCACATGGAACTCACTAAGGTGATCATCCTCCAACTGGAGCAAGACCACGGGTATCGGACCCTGTCATTTTAAATGTGAACCAAAGGAAATCAGCATCACCTACATACACATACCCTGACGCTATTTTGAAGGCAAGTACCTTGGCTGTGCCAGCCTAAACCAACAATAAACTCCCACAAAAACAATGGACAATCACAGCACTTATGACCTTCTGTCCCTCTAGTGTTGACCTTTTTTTCTCTGGGAAACAGAAAGCAACCTTTTCTTTAATGTTTTAAAAACAAACACTTCATTGCAAATGCCCCCCCTCCGGAGGAAGGCATAGAGAGCAAACACCTAATGGACTTTAGTCACGTTATTTAATATGCCACTAGAAGAACAGATGCTACAGCAAAAAGTGCATTCTGAACCCAGCATAACAGCATAAAACATAGTAAAATATTACCCCTTCAGAAGACATTTATGCACTTGGCACTGAACACATGAAGCTTAACAAATACTGCCTTACACAGAGTGCAAGTCCTATTTATAGAAGTTATGTCCCTGACAAAAGTATCCATCATTTTCTGAAGTCTGCAGTTCTGTGCTGATTTTCAGTCACATCCATAATGTCAACAGTTGGTCACCCACAAGTGCTGTACACTGCACAACCACCTGAATGCTGTTGTTCTGATCCCTGATTATGGAGTTTGGCCTCTATCATTACATACTCATTGGGTGAGAGCCACACAAAGTGTTTATTTCTCATTTCAGCTGTCTGGAAGGACTTTCCCATTCCTGACAATTGTCTGTTCTGACTAAATTACAACCCCTCCTCACACTTCAGGATATCAGGAGCTGTGTAAAGGTTAGAAAAGCACCTACAGCTTTCCCATCTCCTCAAGGAACCAGAATGACAAGTTGACATCAGCCCAGCGCCTCTTGCTGTGGTATGTTCACATGCTGGCTGATACCAGATTCAATTTAAGATCTTGTTCTTCAGATCAAGGACTGGGCCTCATATATCTCATGTACTACCTTGCTTGACAGCTTACCATGACCTAGCATGACAGCTCTGGTCATCAGTAATCACTGCCAAAAGGGAGGATCATAGGAGTGGGTGGAAAGGAAATCAGACATTCCTGGCAGCTGGCCTGCAGCTCTGAAGCTTCCTTTCACCAAACATCAGACTGAAAACAGACCTCTGCTTGCTGAAGAGAAAACTATGGGCTTCCACTTTTCAATCACTTTTCCTTAGCACAACATAGAAATGGTTTCCTTTCTCTGAAAAGGAGAAGAAAGGAAAGGCAAAGGGAAAAAAATACATGTGTTCACCTGGCAGAGTGAAAGCAAAGGGCCAGGGAAGGCTGTTTCTCTCTGGTTTGTTACTGTCATTCTTGTTAGCAACAGTAGATTAGGCAGGCAGGGAATGATGGCCCTTGGAAAGCAAAACAGAGAAGTGTTTATCATATAAACAGAGAATTAGAGTTACACAACACAGAAAAGTTTAAACTTGTTTTTTGATGAGCATACTACACAGAAAATTATATATTACAGCAGAACTTAATAGGTAATTTTACAGTTAAATTTTCACAGATTCAGTAAATACCTACAATGCGGCTCCCCTCAAGGGCTCAACAGAATTGTCTCTACCTCCAAGGAAAATAACCAAAGCTTTTTCTTATAAATAAACCACCTGAACCCAAGGAAATTCTATGGTGTTTAGTCCCATAAACACTTCTCTTAGAAATGTGGAAGAGTTTCTGCTTGTTTGGCTAAAATTTATTCTTTTTTTAGGGCAGATGGAAGAGAAAGTAAGAAAGAGGAACAAACTCTGACAGCAATTGTGAAATCACACGCTCTACAAACCCACTGATTTGAAAACAAATAAGATTTAGTGGCTATGTCCACCATGGTAAAACCCCAAAATTCAAGAATTTCCCCAGCTTCTGAGCCTGCCAATAATTTCAGAACAGTATTGTGAAATCCTACAGCTATTTGTTCCAGCTGAGCCTGCTTAATTGGAATTCCTCAGCATTTAGACTTATTTCCTTAACAGCATATGATACAAATAATCACTTCTGGAGACAGTTGAATATATAACACGGGCTCTTTTTAAAAAAATTATTGTTATTATAAAAGACAATAAGCAAGACAGCTCAACAGATTTTTGTCAAACCAAATGTGATCAAAACCATCCCAAAGTTTTTGAGGTTGTAGGCACTGATGGATTAAAAGCCTTTCTCTAATCCTATCGCCACAACTCTTTCAAGTGCACAAACATGCAAAGACATTTCAAGCACTGTGGCAATGTTGACTTGGAGCATTGTTAACTCCTACCAAAAGGCTGTGGGAAGCAGAGAAAAATGATGGAAGGTTTCGTTTATTAATCTGTGATGAAAACCAGACTTCTGTTGATGAAGGGGGCAGGGGGAGGGGTAAAGATAGGCTGGTCTGTTTAATGCTTGGCCCAGATATAGATGATTTTTTTTAAAAAAAGCAAGCAGCTGAGCACATTGCTTCTGGCTGTGTCTTTCTGTAGGTTGCCAGTTGCCAGCACTCACAAAGCACAATTATGTAATGAGCTCCTATCAGGAATCCGAGTTCAAAAACATTTCATGAACTCCCATGCTGTTCTTGCTGGAGCAATTGTTTCTGATAATGAAAAGTCTCTATCACCCTGATTCAGCTGTCTTGGCCCTCTCCAATGGCAGTACTTTGTGCTTTCCCTCAATCTCTTCTCCCTCCCTCACAGCAATCTCTGCCTTTTTCTTAAGGGGAACTCTTCCCTAAGCCCCTTCACTGGCTTTTGCTAGAGGAAAAGAAAAATCGAGGAGGAAACATAGTTTTGTCCTTCCCATACCTCTGAAACAAGCTAGTTTTCCTTGCTTATCATTTGGAAAAACCTCATTTCTTTGGCAAGTGTGAAAGAAATACTGGGTTTACAATCAAAATACACTAATCACAATGCAGTATTGATAGAATAGCTTTTCTGACATAATTTTGAGAGTAAAGACCTACATTTCAGAGCAATCTTTCTCCCAGAGATGTGTTTATTCCTGATGAAATAATTTGGAGTGCTTTTCAGGAAAATTCAGCAATTTTTCACAGAAATAATTATTGGGTCACTTCCTGAGTGAGGAATTTCATTTGCAGCCACTCTGCCACTTTTATATCATTAAAATCAATCAGGCATATGGATAAGAACATGTAAGTATTTAAGGGATCTAAATTAGAGTGCATAAAGAGGAAATAATGCAGGACAGCTCTTTCAGTCTGGATTCATTGAGAGTTTTATGTCAGTACATGAATATATTCATATTAGTCAATCTATTTCATCAGGTAAATAACAAAAATCTACTTTCTTGGTCAAATTTAAATAGAAGAAATAAATTTAAATAAAATTGCAATAGATTTAGAATTAGTGTAAAATATCTGTACCAAATACCTTGTCAAAGTGGAGGCTTGAACTCAAAACACTATTAAATTGTGCTTCCTTTATGATTCTGTTTCAAGTGTAGTGGCTAATATACTTAACAAACAGCTCATTCTTTAAGAAAGAATGAAAATTTATTCATATCATTGTTTCTAAGTGAATATAAAATTTAGGCCAAAGTATCTTTGGGAGGTTTGATCCCAAAGTAAAAGATTCCTGTGTCTTTCAGCAGACTTCAACACAGACGCTTGGAATCAGGATATCTGGGCAAAATGTATTTAATTTTAAAGTAAAGATTTGTAAGGTACTGGAAAAGTATACTGATAGGAGCCTTCAAAGCACAATTAGATTGACTGATAAAATATCCATACATAAATCTCAATGAATTTCATCACATGTATTGATATAAAGGAGATGAAAATTGAAGAATATAAAAGTTATTTCTAATACAACAAGAGAAAGTTCTATTGTTCTATCAGAATCATTCTATCAGACACAGTTAATTTTCAAATAATTATCTTACATGTACAAAGAATTTTTTTTCTTTGTTTTACCTTAAATTTCAGGGATTTTGTTGATTTGTCAATTCTATTTTCCTCGTGTTGAAATGATGAATTCTGGAGAGAAGGAAATAAAAGTTATCAGGAACAGTTTGTTTTAAAAAATTCAGTCCTCAGTTCTGTTAGCCAAAGATCACAAGTACTTCCACTCCATTAATTTGTGGTCTAACAAGTCTCAATCTGTATGTGTGGAGGAAGATTATCCTTTGTTTCAGTAGAAAGAACACTTAAAAGTTACTAATATCAAACATGGATGGATAAATTATAATCAAGGTTCTTTTCACTTTAGTAGCTCCAAACATTAGTTAATTCTTGTAGTGAAGCTAACTTCAATTAATTTATACCATTTTGAGGCACAGAAACATTGACCATCTTTCCAAATCAATGAGAGAATCAGCAACAGCAGTCAAGTGCTACAGGTTTAAGATCTATTTATAAGAATACCTTAGAAATTAAACAGAAAACAAGAACTGCCTATTATGATTCAGACCTCAAATCCCACAACCACTTCAAAAACCTCACGAGTCCTGTTTCCATGAGTTCCCAGTGAAAACCAGGCAATACTGTTTAACTAACTGCAGGTCACAAGGCTATACAAGACCTACTTCAACTTTTATATCTGTAAAATAGGCACCAAACTCTCTTAAAAATGCTTTGCATTTTTTCAGATCAAAACAACACAGACCTATACTGATTTTAGACCTATGCCTACAGAAATCAAACATAGCTCACAGATTTAAAGACTGCTCATAGCCTATGCCATTCTAGTCTAGAGCTCTGAGAAAACTGAATTGAAAATGTGGCAAGTGTCAGCTTGCTGCTTCATGAAAAAGCATTGTGAATGAAACATGTAAAAGCAGCAGCTGCATAAGAATAGGAATCCTGGTTTGTAATTTACAGTCATTGAACGTCACAGCATAAGGAAAATAAAATAGTTATTGCTCCAAGGTCTTATATAATTTAGCTAATTTTCTCCCTCCAGTGTATTAAACTTTGAAATCTTAATGACTCATTATGTTGCACAGGCTTTGCAAAATAATGCCAATGAATCTACATAAAACAGCAATTTGCTGAAGATTTTGTTGTCTTTGTAAAGCAAAAGAAAACACAAAACACAGTTATTGCATATGACCAACAAATTTTTCAAGTCCCAAATACAAGTTCTGGAGTACATTTTGAACAAATTGTTGATTAGCTGCAAGAGTTATAATATAATGTTAGCTAATACTTGAAATCTTGCCTGGTATGCTTGAATTTGCCTGAATTTGAACAAAGCCTATGATGATGTTCCTGGGCCTAGTGGCATTGGCACTACTTCCAAACAGAAATCATGTCAACATTGCTCTGAAGTGAGAAGAGACTGAGACCATTTGTGCTTTTAAAATACCCCTATGGAAAACAGAAATTAACCAATTTGGATGTTCACATGAGCAAGAAAGCAAGTTATGACCTTATAAACCAGCCTGAAAGAAAAATGTTCTGAAATAAACCCTTTGCAAGAAACAACTTTCTGACTGGTACCATTGACTTCAGCAGCAGTCATAGAGAGACAGAAACCTGGACACTTGTAAAATTGTTACTGAAGGAAGATAATTTATTTCAGTACCTAATCATCAAAACATGATTAGAACATGTTCATAAAGTCTAACTTCAGTTTCAGAAAACGTTCCCCTACAGCCAAAAAGGATAATGGATTTCAGAAAGCTGGATGACTGGTGGAAAGCACTGTTGTGAAAGCAGTGAATGTAGCTATTTTCACCAGTTTGCTCAACTCAGTTCTTCAACACCATCCATTAAAGTTGGCTGCAAGGATTTTCATCAGGATAGATGCATAGCACAGCATTCTCCCATTGCCTGGTAAAGTTTCAGGCTTGTTTTCTAAACCAGAAATTTTCCCTAAAATGTCTTCTAAACTAAAGTTTCTGCACATTCTGCAAGTAGCAGTACAAGAACTAGCACCAGACTTGTGGCCCTGTGTTATTCTACATTCCAAGTCAATCACATTCATTTTGTGCCACTAGTCAATGAGTTATAAGGCATAGCTGTGTTTGTACTTCTGTTGAATTGAGAAGACTTCTTTTTCATTCAGAGCCATATCTTTAGTTAAATCCTTCTACATTCCTCAGAAATATGTGCTAAAAGCATGCCAGTGGTATATGTCAGTTCATTCCTCTTTAAGTCTCACTCCATGAGTCAGAGTAGTAGAAGGTATTTGAGCAGTAGAGCTGATATTTGTTTGAATGCTACAGCTGTCTTTGTTGGCAGATTCGTCCCATCTGCTTTCACCTATGTAAAAGCTGGGTATAACCTCTAAATCTCATCTAGGATTCCTGCACCCTATTCATCAGAAAAATATTAGCGGCTACCAGAGATGAATTATTCCATCCTAATTTAGGTAGTTTACACAGTTCAGATGAATCACTCTCTGGACACAGGTTTTTTCTATTAATGAAAAAAGAAAGCTAAAAAAGAAAATTACTCATAGGCATCTAAAGTCAAATTTAGACCATTAAGTGTAGATGAAATGCATTTTACCTTTACTACTCGGAACTCCACTTATGATTGAGCTATCTTACACTTACCCCACAAACCTTCCTAGGCCATGATAAGAAAACCCACACTAAATCTCCACCCATAAGTGAGAAAAAAAATTTATGGATGCCAGTGACTTCGATTAAAAATTATACTGGTCCCTATGGCATAGTGATTCATGATACTGCATTGTTTATAGCATCTAAAATAAAGAAAAATCTGCATTATCCAAAATAAACACTGCGGAAGTGCAATATTAGAGAAGATCATAAGATTCCAAGTAGTTAATAATAAACAGGACAAAAAAACATGTCCGTATGCTGGCAGAACACCACCTCATGAATCATGCACCTACTGGGAACAAATATTTGTTGGACAGCTTCACTGGGTTTTTTTGATGTGTCATACTGCATTCATAGCATGACATCTGAGAAGAGAGGATGAGCAATGAAAGAATAAATGTTTGGGCTTATAGTAATAGCCATTTTTATACCTTTGGGTAGATTTTCTCCAAGGCCTTCCAGTAGTACTCCAGTGCAGTACTCTGGCCGCCAGTACTCCTAGATACAGAAAGTACCAGTCCCATCCACAAAGACACCCAAAAAATATGAGAATGATCTTAAAGCAGAATAATTATGCATCCCAATGAACTGGGAATTTAAACTCATTTTGTAGGAATTAACAAATGCACAGTAATCTCAACATGTGGGAGAAAATTTTGTAACTAGTGTCAGCCTCATTAACTGTCTTCCTAGATAATCTAATGGTCTTGTGATCAGCACAGGAGAGGCACAAGCATTGTCAGATGAAAGACCTGAGGCAACTTTCTGACTGTTGGCCAAAATCTCCCCCTCCTCTTTACCTCCTTGTAGCATTCAAATTATTCTAGCTCTCTGCAATGAGGGTATGTGATCTCCAAGAGACCTGACAGAAATGAAACAGCCATCTCAGAAGATGGACACATCAGATCTCCTAAATACTTCTTTTGCCCCCCTCCATTCTATGTTACTACTGGTAACAAAATGTTACAGAAGACACATGAATTTTTAATTAAAATAAAATAAAATTTAAATGCAATATATGTTTAACTATTTAATGAAAACAATAAAACATAAAAACAACTTTTAACACAATGATGCTGCAAATGTTATCTCAACATGGTCTGAAAAGGTTAGAAATATTATAACAAAATCTGTAGCAAAAGAAATCTTTCACTTAACACAAAGTCTGAAACAGGAATTATGGTTATAACAATGTCAATTGGGGAAGAAAAGGCCACTACAGATTAGGCCTGAGAAGACTGTGCACACGCAACACTAGGAAAGGATCTTTCTCTCAGGATTCTTTCTGGCCCTTCCTCACAGTGCTCCTCTCCAAATACAGCACTAGCTGCCTGTAGAGCCTGTGAACAGGCACGGTATTGCAGGGAAATGGAGAGGACAGCACAAAGCTCCATCAGAGTGCATTCTGAGTGGGAATTATTTTATCTTTGAGATGGAGAAAGGAAACAGTTACTCCAGGGGCTGGGAAAATCACAAATGCTGCAAGAGGAGCTCCAGTTAAGACAAAGGTTATGAAGTCCCTTCTGGTGTTGTGGACTCTGTGCCTTCCAGGATGTGCCTACATGGAGGCACCCAGTTCTAGCATCCAGTGGAAAGATGCTTTGAGCAGCATGATCTGAATTTCTTTACTAGATATTCTGCTAAAACCTTATTGAAAGTATGGAGAGGAGGAAAGCCAAGTTTGTTCTGTGTTATAGTTCTTCCTAAAGGATGTGGGGAAGTGGAAGCATTCTTTCCACAGATACTAGTGAACAAAAAAGAGGCACAGCCACTAGAAGACTGCACAAAGGTTGACTCCATCTGGAAGAATGTCCTCACGTATGCCCACAATCAGATGAAAAACTCAAGGAATGAAGAACAAAGGACACCTAGGAGGGATTGCAGACAGGCAATAAACAACAGCTTGCAACACAGCTGCAAAGATCAATACAACTCTGTGTTGAATTCACATATGCATCTGGAGATAGTGCAGACTCGACATTTTAACAGTTAATACAGTTCCCATATGATCCTACATGGAATACTACAGTCAGCTGAGCATCAAATTACCAGAACCATATGAAGAAAACTGGTGCAGTTTCTGAGCCAAGCTTTGTAATAGATTACTATTTAATTTTCTGTATAAACATATTTCTAGCACATCTAAGAGGTCTCAGAGAAAGGACTGTAAATAGCAGCCTGTTAGTATATGCAATGTAAACACCAAAAATGAAGAGAGCAAATTACAACTCCAGGCAAAGAAAAGTAAGGCATCTATAGAGAAAAAAAACCTATTGAACAAAAAGTATCAGGCTTTGGGAAAATGTCTTAAAATTATGAGGGAATTTTCATTGCATGAAAACTAGCAGAAGACCAGATGACTTAATAAGTCATTTCAAAAATATGCTTTTCAGATTCTACTCTGTACTAGTTTTCTAACTGTTGATTGGAATGACATGAAACCTAAAGAAATTAAGGACACTC